AACCCGCCTCCTTCCTTCTGTGCACCGGCTTCTCATTTGTGGGGGGGCCCTTTTTTGCAGGAATCCCCCCCAGTTTGCCCTGCGGGGGAAACACTCTCCCTGAGCCCTCTGCTGTCTCGATGGACCCCCACCTCAGCTTCCTCTCACTGAGCCCTCTGCTGCCCATGAACCCCCAGCCTCAGTTTCCCCTCCTCCTCCTGAAAAAACGTTGGGGATGAGATTATGGGGAGAGAAGAAGAAGGGTGAAAGGCATCCCTTCTGCCCTCTTCTCCCTAGCAGGGCCTAAAAATGAGAACGGGAAGGCATGGGGGGTTGGTCAAATAAGGTGGGTGCAGCTGCAGTCCCAATGGATGCGGGGGCCAGAGCAGAGTCTGACACCCCCAACGCTGGGCAATTGAGAAGGTGGGGACAGCGGCAGCCAAGAGGGAGGTCCCCCGCCCCAGGACAGACATTCCCCTTCCAGCTCGTCATAATTGCTTTTCACCAGGTTACTTTTTTCTCTCCTCCATCACAAAGAGGCTTAATCCCGGTGAAGACCGCAGCCGTGTTGGGGGTAGTTTTCTGGGATGTGTGTCGGGAGGGTGGTCTAGAGCCACAGCTGATAACTGGCGAGTTCAATGGGACTTTAAATCGGGGACAACACCCAGCAATTACTTGAGGACAAAGGGTTGGGGGCCCCCCAGGTGTAGAGGACTGAACTTTGGGGGGGCTGGGGGAGGAGGCTGGGAAGGAGGTGTGTTGGGAGCGGGGCTCTTACAATCCCTCTGATTTCCGCAGGAATTTGAGACATTCTTTAAAGCTCTAGACTGCCTCCCCCGGCCCCAGCCAGGCTCCCCGGCCCACCCCTCCCCGGCTCGGGTTAGAGACGGCTTCAAAGGTGGACGGGGCCCTTTGTCCTGCCTCTGCTTTCTTCTCGGCCTTTCTCCGGCCCCTCCCTCCCTCTCTTTGACCTCCCCAGCACAGACAGGCCTCTGGGGGCCGGCTCCAGAAAGCTCTCACTGTTTTCTTTCTTGCTTTCTGAGGTGAGTCCTGGCAGGGAGGGACAGAGGATGGGGAAGGGTGAGGGAGGGCCAACCCAGAAGCCTACGCTGTCCCAGGAAGTGCCCTCACCCCAACCCAGCCCCTAGCCTGGGTGTTGGATGCCTGCCCCTGACCCTGGGTCCCTGGCTGGACTCGGATCCTTCTCCTCACCACACCTCTTAGCGCCTCTACCCAGTGTCCAGGCACCAACCCCGGTGGCTCTTCCTGTTCGGGGGAAGTCTGTTCAGTTCATTCCCTGGCGGTGACTTCGAAGATGTCAAGAGGAGGAAGCCAAAGCAATGGATCTCTGATAGTGGAACTTCGGAGGGGACTTCACGTCATGCCTATGGGGTGGGAAGGAAGGAGGCTTCCCCAGGGACCTCAGACCATGCCGGGCTTCAGCAACCCTGGTCGCTTCCATGCACCTGAAGGTTATAAGCTAGTGTGAGCATGGAGTGGCCGCAGGGGGCTAATTGCTAATGGCCCCTTGCTACTGGAGCAAGATGTACGTATCAAAGGGAGGACGTGAGGAGGTCGAGGCAGTGCCTCAAATCCTGTGTGGGATTACCAAGAAGGCTCGCTAAGAATAGCCCACGTATTGATCTCTCCCTTCTCTGGCCGGTCGTCCAGTCAGAGGCAGGAAGCCAGAGAGGGGACATTCGCTCACTTTTTAGGCCACTAGGCTGGTTCTTCCTACATCACTCTATTCAATCCTGTTTCTCAGCGTCCTCAGCCCTGTCTATCCCGACCTGGCATCACCAAGGATGGCTTCTTGAGCCTCCCTTCCCCTGGCCTTGCAATAGGCTGTCCCTTCTGGCTCCTCATGGAGAAACCTCCCCTCGGGTGTTCTCCGTGTTCGTGCCTCTCTCTGAGCAACCTCGACATCCCAGTCATCACCCCCTGGCGTGTGGCTGCATTTCCTCCCAAACTCCGGGCTCTGTCTAAATCCCCGCACCCGCTTCCCAATGGTCTCTGCTCCCAACACTGGACCTCACACCTCACACATTGCTGACCTCCCCAGCCCCGTAAGGCACCGCTCTGCCCAAGCCTCGCTCTCCAGAGCACGTGCCTCAGCAGCGACTTAAGAGTCCTGCCCAGCCCTAGCCCCATAACTCCCCTTCGGGAACCCTAGCAAAACTGGAACTCCTGCCATCCAACAAACCCTGTCTCCATCCTTGTTCATGAAGTCCCTACAGGCTCTCCTGACTCCCTGGGGGTGCGTGGCTGCCACTGGGCTCACTGGCCATTCACTTGCCCTTGCCTCATGACACACATCACAGCTCGTCTGGCACTGTCGTAATGGCTCTCCATGTCATGATTCTGCTAGACAGCAAGAGCCTCGGTCGTAGGAATAGCCAGTCTTGACCCCCCCCATAATGCCCACCACAAGAGTCACACGGAGTATTCGTTGAAGGATACTGGGATACCCCCCTAAAGCCCAGGAAGGAGTTCCTGGCCCAGCACTTTGCTGTTCCTCAAGGTGGGAGGCAGGAGAGAAGCCAGAATCTTGCCTGTCTCCTCCGTTCTCAGGCGGAATGGGTGGGGAGTGGTCTTAAGCAGTTACAGTGATCCAAATATGTATTCCCTCAAGGCTCAACCACTGTGCTAATCCTTCTGTTAATTAAACAGATGGACAAGATAGAGCTCTCAAGGCACTTGAAATTTAATTAGAGGGATAAACCCATGAAGAGACACGTCTTTTGTGGGACTTTGGGAAATCTCTGTCTCTTACACTTGAGATAACAGTAGCCTTTGGTCTATCCCAAGAGAGTGAAGGAGGAGAGAAGTATTACTAGGGCCAGGCACAGAAGCTCACACCTGAATCCCAGCACTTTGGGAGGCTGAGGCAGGAGGATCACTTGAGGCCAGGAGGTCAAGACCAGCCTGAGCAACATAGGGAGACCCTGTCTCAAGGAAAGAAAGAAAAAGGGAGGGAGGGAGGAAGAAAGGATATTGGAAATAAGGAAACTAATATCTACTAGGCTCCGGAGATGTGCTGGGCTACACTCAGGATATGCTCACTTGTACTCTGTATTTAGGGCGGTAAGGTGTCCCCATGTGTTGCCTGTGGACGAACTCACACTCAGAGATGTTAGCCATTCACGGTCTCACGGCTAGGGAGCCCTACAGCCTAGACTCTCACTATCTTCACCTCCTCAGTATGAGGGTCCCCAGTCCCCTGCCCAGGTATCTCAGGTTCTGGTGGTACCTCAGGTAGGGGAGTGCATGGGCTGGGATGCTTGGGCGCCTTCGTGGAAGGGCTGGGCTTGCGTGATTTCCGTGGTGGGAAGATACACAAAGAGACTAGGGAGAGGGAAAACAGCATGAGAAGAAAGGAAAAATGCAAGGTGTGTTCAGGGGAAGGAGAGCAGCACACAGCAGTTTGGCTGGAACTGAAAGTTTTCGTAGAGAAGTGACAGGAAGTGGTTGGGTCCTTATGCTGTGGCAGGGAGGAGACAGCGAAGGGCTTTGGAGTGACGAGATGCCACGG